AGTTTTTTTATTTATCAGGTAATAAGAATGATTGGATTAATTGCAACACTTCCATTTGAGCCAAGCCCTGACGTTATTCAAGAGTACGATCTAGAAATAAGAAATTACACCGACATCATAATAATATCAAGAAATGGGAATGAAAGAAAAATATCGAAAAAAAAGAAATAAATTACGACTGAAAAGTATATCATACAAGTATTTGACATATTTTTACATTTTTACTGATTTTTGTATTTAATTTAAGAAGATTTTGATTATTTTCATTCTTTATTATGTCAACTATCGTATTCGATACCATATGAAGCAATGTAATCATATGCAACAAATAAATCATTTAAAAAAAAATTTAGTTATTTTTATTCCAAAAACATATTCGTAGACCTATATCAATGTGCTGTTAGTCTGAATAAAATAGTCAAGTTGGTCTCAAAATATTTTTTTTCTAAATTTTATGACATAGACTTGCATGTGTCATGTAATTTACAACTTAACATTAGTATTATTAAAATATGTACCTAAATCTTTAATAGCTCTCAAATAAAAAAGAGGAACATTATTAATAAATGCCTTACGAGTATGTGACAATATTGTGTACTATTTCATCATTAAAATAATTCGATTTTCTTTGAGTCTTTCCAATCAACTACTTATGTATGTTTTTATTAAAAAACTGAATAGAAATAATTTGTACCGTTAATTGATATTTAAATTACACTGATTCTGATCATTTTTTTCATCTTCGGTGCGATTTTTATCGTTTAATTTTCAACTGATTAAAATATATTTATAATTATATCGGTCGAAAGTTTTTAGAAGAAATGTTGATACATAAAATATTATAACTGTACACACGTAGTAAGAGCTAGTTAGGAAGCTTTTACCATAATTTGTAAAAAAATGCGGCAAAATTAGCTTTGCACTTTTTTTCCAAGTTTGCATTTATGAAAAAAATTAGAAAATATAATTCTAGTCAACCAAGCGATTTATCTTGTAGAAGAAATGTTCGCACCTAAGACATTCATCTATAATTCAGCAACAAAATCTGCATCCAAAATGAAAACACCGAGTACAAGTTTCGATTCATCTTTGCCAGGTAAATAATAAAAAAATAATCCACGATAATCTTAGAGACGTAATAATTTGTTCAAGTGTCTGGCCTTATCAATTAACACTTCAAAGGAGGAAATGTTATACGTAGTTATCTTTTCGTAATACTTGGAGAAGTAGCATAACTATTTTCTTTCATCTGACCAAATAATAAACTCATTTGTAAGAGCTGATTAACTTCAAGCAATGTGGGTGGGTATGTATTGGTTTTCCGTAGAGTAGATGTAAGTAAATCCGATCAGCTCTTATGAACATATTCGGTGGTATTATAATTATATTGCATGATTTATTGAAGTAACAGAAAAAAAAAAAAAAAAAAAAATTATTTTGGAAAAACAGGGCATCACTTAAAATTCAGAAGGGATAGTTTCTTATAATTATAATGTTCACTTTAGGTCCATCAAGAGTGCGTTAAAACAACTCTTTTATGACACAAGCTTTTATTCCATACCAGTTAGTTACCATTTTTATTTATGCTGATTACTTAGCTTCTATTATAAGTAAATGTATAATATTAATTATGTCAAAATTAAAATTTACAGGTATACTAAAGATTTTACATCTGTAAAAGACTTAAAATTGATTAAGCCACGACAATCGCACGTGTAAGTGTATAATAGTTTTAAATGTCACGCCATTATGATTCGTACATTTATAAATAGTATTTTCTTGTATTATTAATAGAAATATTACAGGAAAAGTAATTAATCCAATGTTTAATGGACGTTTTCTCGAGTTTTTGGTAGAATGTAGTGAATGTGTCCAGGTTCATGTCAAGACCTCGTACAACTTAGCAATTGCATATTCAAGAGCAATTAAGTATAATCACATATACACATTAATGTACTATAAGAAACAATTAAAGTTTCAATAAAAAATATTAATATATTGAGTCAAAGTAGATAATTTTGTCGAATGGTGAATTAAGCAATGTTTACTTTATCAGATTATAAAAATAGTTGTAGCCGTTGCAACAGAACCTACTCCCCGAAATTCCGGCAAAATGAATTACGAGTTGGAAATAAAGAGACATACCGATGTGTTCATAATATCAAAAAAAATCAGGGAATGCCAGAAATTTATCCAAACACTCATATATTTAACGTAAAAAAATGAAGATTAAAAGTCATTAACGTACGAATAAAATTATAAGAAAATAATATAAAAAATATATATGTGTATATTGATAAATATTAATTACCATGGTTTTCTTTATTTTCAGAAGATTGCTTAGCATAAGTATAAATATTGAGCGGCATTGCCATATAAGATTGAGAGTAAAATTAATGTCTCTGGTCTCCTGGCATTGTTTCTGGAACGAGTAGTGAAGACTTAACAACTCATGTCAAGGTTTGGAAGAAAATAAGTATTAAAATAAAGGATCATCTAATAAGTTGCGTAAATATAATAAATAATATTGAATTTTTTAAAAAATTTATTGAATCAAATCGTACTGCTGAATTGTAGTTAATGTAATCAAGTTATAAAATNCAAATGTTTAAACTAATCAAATTGGATTTATTTTCTAACCGAAATACATATATATATATAAACGTTTTGAGTTATGTACGGTTGAATTTTTTTTTTCATGTATGTAAAAAATCTTGTTGATAGGATGTATAGAAGGGTACATAATAAGAGCTGTGAATTCTTGTAGATAGTTTATTAATATCTTTAAACATATACATAACATTCGTTCGTTTATTAGAACGTAAAAAACCAAAATATCATAGTTGTTCAATTTTTAAATCGTATTTAGTTATTATTTTATACTTCGTTAAAAAAATCTAGAAAATTCGCAGGATATCGTCCTCGATATTACAATAACATACGTTCAAATGAGTCGGGAGAAGCGTCGATTTTGCAAATTTGGTCTTCATCTTTTCTTCTCTTTCATTTATGCCTTTACGTGTAAATGTATGTATGTATGTGTTGTAATTTTTGAAGAGTGTAAATCCTTTAATTGAAAAAAGACAAAAAAAAAACTAGAGTGTATGTATCGTATGTACGAAATATTTTTCTCAGGTGTAAATTACAATGCTACAGTAATTTGACACATTGCTTATATTTGTTTGTAATTTTTCCTTGATGCATACATTGTTTACCTATTACTTGGGATTTCATCCCATACTTTTTTTCATCGTCTATCATCTTTTTTATCTCCTGTCCTTCGTGTTTCGCCTTAATATTATTTTCGTTATCTTGAGTAAGATATATTTCTTAGCTATAGTAGCAGGCGTATAACAACTGATTCGCTTGTTTTTTTAATTTATTTATTAATTTTTTTTTTTCAATTATTGATTATTAGAAATACATAACACTTTCCTCCCATCTCATCTAGCATCTCTTAACTCTTCTTTTCTTTTAATTATTTCTCTCTTTTTTGGCAATGATATGACGAGTCGTAATATGTACTTTTAATAGATCGCGTTCCCCTCTTTTATTTATTTATTTCATATATAACATACGGGGATTGTGGAAGCTTCGAAAGAACCGCACTTTTTGTTCCTTCTCTCATTTACTCTCTTTCTTCGATTGTGAGAGCCATTCTCTCGGCTATACAAAAAAATCTATAAAATACCCAAAACCATCGCGCAACGATGTGTTGATCAAAAAATTTCACCACCCAGCCTGACTTAGTCTTTTATCAAAGTTTTTTTTTTTTTTTTTTTTTTTTCACTTTCCACATTGCTTGGGATTGGTTTGCTTGACAGTGATAAAAATAGGGGCACTCGCACGGAGGAGAAATCAGAAATCAGGGAGTACTCGTGATGGATCTAAATAATTATGAATAATAAATAAATAAGTACCTGTGAAGGAGCTGGCTCGGCTGCGTACTGGCCAGCAGAAGCGGCAGATCGGCTTGAGGAGGGGAAATCGAGGCCGGGGCACCCTCAGCAGGACGTAGATGTACGGATCCAAGGAGAAGTGCAGGCACAGGAGGACGTCGGCCACTTTTTGGAAACCCGCTATCAACTTGGACGCGACGAGTTTCAGGCCCGGCGTGTTTTTCTTGTATTGGCCCAGTGGTATGGATATCTGCGAGCCATCGGTAACGATTATTTTTTTATACTGCCTCGGGGTTTTTTTTTTTTTTTTTTTTTCCTATCAGCATCTTCTCCGTCACTNGAGTGGAAATGTTGACTATAGCTATATATCTGAGCGCACAGCTAAAGCAAGCGACGACATGAGTTTTTCTCTTTTGACTGCAACTGAGTTTATGCTATATATATTTAACTGATTTTTGCTCTCGTTTTTTTTTCTTTTTCCCCTACTTTTAATACTTATTTTTAAAAAAAATTTCAACTATTTTTTTAAGGATGGCAGTTCAGTTTTAATTCCTAATTTATTATTTTTCCTCATAATTGTTATGAACTGTAGGATAAGCTCCAGAGAATATTAATGATTATACGTAGCTTTCAGATTTCTAAGGATCAAAGTTTCAGTAGCTAAGTTTAAACTTTTTTTTTTCAATTATTGATTATTAGAAATACATAACACTTTCCTCCCATCTCATCTAGCATCTCTTAACTCTTCTTTTCTTTTAATTATTTCTCTCTTTTTTGGCAATGATATGACGAGTCGTAATATGTACTTTTAATAGATCGCGTTCCCCTCTTTTATTTATTTATTTCATATATAACATACGGGGATTGTGGAAGCTTCGAAAGAACCGCACTTTTTGTTCCTTCTCTCATTTACTCTCTTTCTTCGATTGTGAGAGCCATTCTCTCGGCTATACAAAAAAATCTATAAAATACCCAAAACCATCGCGCAACGATGTGTTGATCAAAAAATTTCACCACCCAGCCTGACTTAGTCTTTTATCAAAGTTTTTTTTTTTTTTTTTTTTTTTTTTTCATTCATTTTTTTATTTCTTAAGACGTAAGTAAGTGTGTGTAAGTGTGTAAGTATGTTATGCTCTGTTGTTGTTGTTGTTGTTGCTGCTACTACATCGTTTTGTGGTATATTCTTGCCTTAATACATGTATATTTATATATGTATAAATGTCGTTAAAATTATTTTTTGCGTATTCGACACATTTCACTGCTTGAATGCCGGTGGCGGGGCTCGTTGGTGCTTTGACTGCTGCTGCGACTGGCCATTCGAGTCTGACCTGTTACTGCTGTCCTCAGTCATTACTGTTACTAAATCCCCAACTGCTTTGCTCAAATCCTCTGCAATAGTGTATTTTATTATTTTAATTAGTTTTTACGAATAATAGTACTTTTCTGGGACAGTTTTTTTTAAATCTATCAATAAAGACTTTTATTTGAAAATTTTGTATTTCAACGATAAAATTTAAATCAAAATAGGGACATCGAAAGCTAATTTAACAGTTTATATGTACAGAGTACACAAATTGCTCAAGCGACATGTAAAATTTGTATTATTCATTAAACTTTAATTATGGTCAGTATTTGTAAGATTATTATGTACTACAGTCGTTAAAACACGTTATGCATAGTAATACGAAAAATTGTAAACATTAAAAAATTTAGTAGGCTTCCATTAAACTTTTTATTTTTAGAGCATGTACAGTAATTATAAAAATAATAATTAAAACTATGAAATAAATAAAGCAAATGCAAAGTGCAGAAAAAGATTCGCATTCAATGAGTTTGAAAAAAATGCCCTTACAATGGTAATTAAATTAATATGAGTGTGGTGCAATTTATGACTTAGTTGTTAATTTAGTGCTTGTTAAAAATGCCAGTTTTAAGCTCACCTTTTTACATCCATCCTATATAGTGATAGCAAACAGGACATTAAAAATATTAGAGTTGTTAATACGATGGGGCACATGCAAAATTGCAAACGTATACATTGGGGATAGTAAGAATAATTTTATTTCATCTATACGAGTTACAATTACTTTTTTACGATTTTTACATCAAATGTTTAAACTAATCAAATTGGATTTATTTTCTAACCGAAATACATATATATATATAAACGTTTTGAGTTATGTACGGTTGAATTTTTTTTTTCATAATGGAAGATGAACAAAATGAATGAAAATATTACTGGCTGATAATTGTGCACAGAAAATAGTAGCATGGGAAAAACTCCTGAAGCTACGATTTTCTTGGAGCACGTAAGCATTTCGAAAATGGCACACATGACGATAAAAAAAGAAACATCTGTCAAAGCGTGTAGCGATGCGCAAAAGGTAAAGAAGCGTATAAAAATTAAAGAAAAGAAAAAAAAAAGAAAAAAAAAAATTCTCAAGGAAAAAGAAACGAAAAATAAAATAAGAATTTACAACAATTGAAAGATTGTAGTGTGAGGAAGTGAGGGGGAGGAGGGTCAAGGAACAGAGAGAAAGAGATACGAGCTCACAAACCTGCCATGTGTAAGAGGTTGCCCACATTATGATTAACGCTGTGAGAATGAGGAGGCGGCGGTGGTCTCTCTAAGCTGCTTACACGGTCCTCGCCCGCGCCACCACCTAAGCCACCAACCAACCGTATCACCGTATCACCGAAAACCGCTTTCGTTTTTTATACAACGATTAAGTATTTAAGAAATAGATAGATAGACAGGCAGAAGGGAGAGAAAGAGAAATACAACTTAAAAGAGACAGAGAGAGAAATATGCACACGTGTGCGAGCGTACGCCAAAGTCAATGTTTGCCGGTCTACTTTGTGACTTTTCTTCTAGACTTGCAAAATATTTGAGTTGAATGATTTTTTACATTTCCTAATACATTCTCAGAATGCATGAAACTTGCGATTAATTTCAAATAATAAAAAGTATGCTTCAACCGACTCACATAAACCTTACATGTACATGATAAACAAAACCAAAATCACCCATGTCTGATGAAAAAACAAAAAAATTTTCAATTAAATGTTAGTTATGAGGTTCCATGTTATGTACGATTTATCGTATGTATTTTCACAAAACCACTTACTGAAATGTATGAAAAAAAAAAAAACTTTTAAAAGTTTCAAACGCGATGAAAAAAAAAAAAATGTCACGTACCTGGGGAATCGTGGTAGTGGCCATTCATTTTTGCAGGAGAATCGGTCGCCAATTGGGACGCAGTCACGCTTCGCGTCTGCAATGTTCCAGTCTTAGACGGTGACGCAGCATTCGGCTATAAATAAAAAAAAGCCAAGGTTATCAAAGATAAACTTTGCAGCCGAACATCTTTGTCAAACGAAGCGCTTATTTTGAGTAGACACTACAGAAATATTTTCATACGATAAAATATCACTTGAAATACTCCTGCAACATAATCCTTCCATCTAAATCAGCAGAAACGCGCACGTAATATGCGTGTGACGATGATCCCGCTGACACACCCCCCCCTCGCCCTACTTTCAACCAGTCACACGTTTGTATAACGCATACACACCTCATCGAGCAACTGTCTGAGTCTCTGCAGCTGAGCCTCGAGCTGTCGGTTATGGTCCTCGAGTATCTGCATGCGAGCCTCGAGTCTACCCTTGTGCTGGCGCAGCAGCTTTGCTTCGGCTATCATATCACAGTCCGGCTGCCGGACTCCGTGAACACCGTCTTCTGGCGTCGAGCCTGGCGTCTGTTTCGAGCGTAGCCTTTCGTACTCGGCCTGTAGCGTCGCGTTTTCCTCCTCGAGTTCGCGTATCATCGCCTCCAGCTCTTCGCGCTGCTCAGCGTCTATCGCCGCCATCACCTGTGCAGGAATTGTACAATGAAATTTCAATTTTTTTTTTTTTTTTTCTTTCTTTGTCAAGCCACACCTCAGGCCTCATCTCAAAATTGCATGGACTCACCTGAACAGGACTACGCGGTACGTTGATGCCGTCGCCGCCGTTGAGACTCTGGCAGTAATGGGCGATGAGCTGATGCTCGTCGTCGCTGTCCGGTGTCGAATTGCTGCGTGTGCGCGACAGCTCGACTTCCGCGAGCCGCGAGGCGTAGATCTCGAGCTGCGAGTGCATGTCTTGGCTGAGCGAGCTGTGTTGGGGCGAAGGAGCTGGACTCTCGAGCGCGTCACCCTCGAGGACCGTTTGAACGGGCAGGTAGCCCACCCGGGGGTGTTTCTTGAAGTAGCGCTTCGATTTGAATTTGTTGCGCAGGGCGCGCGTAAAGTCGCGCACGTCCTCGCCCGATGTTGTCTGCAATTGCACGAAAAAAAAAAAAAAAAAAATCACATCACCTACGTCCACGAAATTTACAGGTATAATAAAAAAAAAGAAAATACACTAACCGCCGTGCAGTACTCCTGCATGGGATGCGTCAGCTTGTGATTCTTGGCCTTTTTGCCGGAGAAGAAGCAGTTCTGGCACATGTCGAAGTTGAAGCACTTGAGACACCGATACCTGAACCCCACGATCGGGTACTCCTTGCATATGTTGCACTTGGCTTGGTGCTTGGCGCTTTCAGCCGCGGATAATCTGTGCAGCACGGGCAGCCAGACCATACTCTGGGGCTCCTGTTGCAGCCAACTGAGAAAGTGCACGGCTTCGATCTCATTCTTGTCTTTGCCGGCTTTTTCGAAACAACTTCTCACCGACGGCTCGATGTTCGAACCACCGAACGCGGCCACCTCGCCGAGCTGACGCGGGACCTGGATGCAATCGTGCAACAGAAGGCCCAGCTTGCGCTGGTCCACCAATCGGTTCGGATCGGCGATCAGTCGAAACAGATCTGCAATGAGATAACACAAACGATCGTTGATGAAAATCGGCATAGATACGCGCACAAAAAAGGGAGGACCACTATATACTTACATCTGTACTTTTCTTCCAGGTGACCCTTACACAACAACACCAGTCCCACTTTGAAGGACAAAACACGGATTTGACCAGTTCGTTGGCTAAAACGATAAGAAAATCATATATACGGTGCGAAACATCAAGTAATGGTATAGAAAAAGGACTCGCGGTTTTACCTGTCGTAAACGTTGAGCAGCCAATTGATCGCGAGATCGACGCACAGAGGCACCGAAACCTGGTTCGAATTTTCCGTGGCTATGTGCTCGTAAATCGAGGTGAGTACCGTCACCATGTCGGGTATGTCGATGAGTTTGTCGTTTTGCGCGCGCAGCCCGTGCGTATCGAATTGCTCGAGCGCCGTCGAAAGACCCAGCACGTCCACTGTGAAAAAATGATCATTGTTGAGCACACGCAAATGTATTTCAATAAATAATGGGATGTCGCTTACGGCCAAGTCGCTTCTGCACCGTTCTGAGCTTCATGGCCGTCCTGTACGCGGAGAACCGAACCTCGTTGAGATCGGCCAGCGAGGACATGAGCTCGATCATCTTCGGATGGTCCCAATGCGTCGTCTCCAATTGGTGGCTGCGACGAAACGGACATCAGATAGAAAATATTCATCGAGATTCAATATGTTTCATAAAAGGCACTCACTTGATGTAGTAAGGCACTTTGGCGGGCGTGAGGGCTCTCTCCCACGGTGCCTCGACGCTGCTCGCGAGGAAAGCCTGGCTGCCCGGGGTGCTGCCATTCTTGCCCAAACCGCTCAGCTGCTTGTACCGCTCGTCTACCGCCACTTGCAGCGCCTTCCACCTGTACGGACGATAACAATACAGATTTTGCCATTTTTTTTTCTTTCACCTGTATCTATATACCGTGGCTGATCCTATATACGATGCAAGAAAGTTTTGCAATCTCCGTAATACACACATGCACGTTCGCAAGTTGGACCGTTTAATTTACGAGGGAGAATGGGGGGGAAAAATAAAAAAAGAATTGAATCGCCGTACTACGGCCGAGCAAAAACCATCAGGCGATTAAATAACGCCCAGACTGTACAACGCAGTATACGTTGTACATATATAATGACAAAATCTCCATAAGGAGGAAAGGGGAAGAGAGAGAAAAAAAAAAAAAAAAAAACGCGTCCGCGTGTCCTAATCTCTTTTTATGGGTGTTTCGGTAGTTTTAGATTGCGCGCGTGTGTGTAGACACAGCGAGAGTTTCGCACGTATATAATCCACGGAGCAAGCGCTCGATGAGAAAAGTTTTGCTGCTTTAGCGCGGAGCTGCCGCGAACTTTCGCGCCGTCGCGTATATATTTACACCCCACATCGCGTGCACGCCCGTGGTTAAACATGTACAACAATTCCAAGTGTATATATATACAAATTGTATGACGCGTGGGCGCGCGGTTTTGTTTCGAGTTAATTAATTATAATATTTCTCGGGTGGGGGAGAGTTTTGGACTGTTTCAACGTAAAGGCGCCGGGTGAGACAAATTCGCGGGTACAGTGTGCCAACGGGACTCACGAAGCTTTAATAATTGATGCGGTTAGGCTTGAGCGGCTTCGTATATTCGTATACGTTACGAGTGCAGTGTTGGTTCGAGCGACGAATTTTCAAGGTTCGAGAGACGCTTGCATTGTTCATCAAGCTATAATATATGTACTCGACTACACGCGACACCTCTCACTTAAAGTTCAACGTTTACCGAAGAATGTAGGGAAGGAAGCACTTGGTTCCGCGACATCGTTCAAATTATTTATTCAAATTTACCACGGGTGGAAGAAGTGAAAAAAAAAAAAAAAAAAAAAAAAAAACTCGTTACCTGGCATTGAGGTCGTCGAGCTTGGCGAGGAGTGCGTGGGACACGATGACGTTGCTCGAGGCAAAGGCGCTCGCCTGCTCGTTGGCCTCGTCGATGAGCCTCTGTATGGGGCCCAAGCGCTCGCCGAACTTTTGCAGCTGGTCGAGCTGCTCCTGGGCCTCGGGACCGGTGCTGGCCGATTGCCAGCCGCCCTGGATCGCCTCGGCGCCGGCGAGACGCGACGACAGCTCCTCCAAGGATTTTTGGTAAACGCATAGCTTCTGTAATCAGAAAAATGCACGAAATTTCATTCAGGGGATGAACAAGTGGTAGATGACTAATTTATCTTGTATATTCGACTCGAGGCAAGTGGTATACTAAGTAAATCAGACTGAGCAAATAAAAGGATGAAAAGTGTTAAGAGGACGAGAGAGACACGACTGGCGTACGATAAAAGTCGTTTACGACGGCGAGCCAGACGGGCAACAGTTTTCTTTTGAAAGCGGTAAGGCCAGTAATTTGTATGCCGTTTCCGAGTTGAATTATCCTTTGGGTTGAATAACGGCTAAATGCCGGACCATATGCTTTTTTTTTTTTTTTTTTTTTTCCGTAGACCATTTTCCTGAGAGGAGTACTCAAAACATGCAAGGATCAAGAGTTTGGAGCTCATCCAATAAACACTTTTTATGGAATGTACTATCTGAGGAAAGATTATACTTGTCCGACGACGAATATCCATTCGAATGTGCGCAAAATCTTTACTCCAGACGTCGGTTAAAATAACAATCCATTCTAATTCCATTAAAAATTTGTGAAGAACAAAAAAAAAAAAAAAAAAAAAAATTTGGGGAAAAAAAAAAAAAAAAAATAGCGAAACGTGTCAAGCAGCCAAATGTAATTTACGGCTGGGCACATTACGTATACGTATATATAAAATCATACTATATACAACGTCGTGCAACGATAATGCGATTACGGACGTGAACGGCGTAATGAGCACACTAAACTGCAGCGCTCGTACGTGGCGTGGACCAAAGAAGTGAGCGTGTATACAAAATACAAAGGAATAAAGGAGGAAGAGGAGAACAAGAGAAAAGAAACGCACGTGCACGCGAAACTAGGAGAAAAAAAAAGGGTCGACGACCGAGTGCATGGCGAGTAATGTTGAGGTGGGGGGTAAAAAAAAAAAAAAAAGTAGGTTGTACAAGGGCTTTGAAAGCTCCCTGGTATGGCGTAAGTAAGGGAGAAAGGAGGAAAGAAAGGCCCCGTGGAATGGAAGCGCCTTTTTTGTGCCGCGAAAATTACCCGAACGCGCATTTACGTAGGCAAGGTGGGTGGGTGTATACACGTATACACATCACGCAAGTCTCAGGCTTCTTTGCAATTGCAACTTAAAATGCTCTAATTAGCGCTCGATTTGCGCTTTACATGAAGGCACTCGTAGGAATGCACTATTTTCTGTTGTTTTTTTTTTTTTGCTCTTTCGTTAGCCCCCTATTATCCTCGTACAGTAAAGTCGAAAGCTTTAGATTCAAAGCTCTTATGACACTGAGAAATTTTTAAATGGTCTCTCGGCTCTTCCGCTTCGTTCGAGCTTGACAGTCCGACAAATTTTAATGCCCTACTTACACTTTGGTGTACATAATTTTTTAAACCATACACTTTGCCATTACTCAGTTTGACCACAAAAAAAAAAAAAAAAAAAAAATTGATATTGTTTGCATTCAAATTATTTGTCCTTTATTTTATAACTGATGCGTCTGTGAGATTTTTGTGCATACAGAACAATCGCATTATAATCCCCCTCGCACTCGAGAGCCCCGCGACATCTCTCCCGCGTAATTTTTAATGCATCAAGCGTCACAGCTCTAAAGCACGGCGCTCGAGATACGAAAATTCACAAGCGAATCCAATCTCATTTTTACGCGGAAGAGCATAACGCGGATGCAAGAACGAGAGCGAGACGAGAGACACAGGGAAAGATAAGATTCATTTTCGTTGGAAACGAAGAGGGGGGAGAGAGAGAGAGAGAGAGAGAGCGAATTCCCGAGGAGAAAAATGTTTGCCGAGCACTCAACTATCTAAACAGAACATCTAAAGTTCGTTCTCTCTCTCTTTCCCGTCCTCTCTTTTTCTTTTTTGGTAACTTTTGCGTGTGTACGTTCTATATACACACGGGTTGGGAAAAAAAAAAAAAAAAAAAAAAAAAAGAAAAAAACTATGTCGAGAGACACAACGTCGCTTGCATTAGGCGAGAGTGAAATTGGCACGATCCGTAAATGATGAAGGAAGGCAAATAGAAAGGCGTCGTGTTGACCGTGTAACGCTTCTAATGCTTGTTTTTCCAGGGGGAGGACAAAAATTACCGTGAGCCACATCGCGTCCGCGTGCGGTTGTAAATTATTTACGACACACTTGCAGAAGGAACGCATGTACCGAGGGAAATGAAGAATAAAAATTACCCTCAACCACTGGAGAACCATCACATTTAACAGTAACAGCTACGCATATTGAAATTGAGCGGAAAACTTATTTTTCACAAACTATTTTCGATATTTCACGAGGAAAAGTTCGTCATCCCCGTATGCGAAGAACGCGCGCAGTCATAATCTGACGTCGAAGCTGCATGGGTGCATAGACATGATAAATCAAATAAACACGTTATACTTGGGGAAAAACTGCAGTCGTATAGCCACAATGGAAAACAAACGTCAAACGTAAAAAGGGTCAGCAGGTGTGTGTTGGAGTTGATACAAAAGCGCGCGTCCACTCTACACTCATAAATATTCAGATTTCCTTGGTGTGTACTGTGTACGTACCAGCGCGCCCGTCCCGTTCCGCACAGGTATACATCCCCTTTCCTCTTCTGTTTTATTTATTACGTTGTCCTGCCGAATATCTCCCCCTACTCCTTCCTCCTGCCATCGAGATGGGTACATGTATATTATCGGCACTGCGCTATTTTCGCTCGTGTACCCACCTACACAAGTGCAATACCATACAGTGGCTCGAGAAGTGAATTCCTCGCATACTGTACGTGTAAGAGATACCTATGGCTATTTTTTTTTTTTTTTTTCTTTTTGTTTGCCAAATAGAAACCTTCAGTCCGCGCGGCACGTGATTTGGCAGACTGCCACTCGCGTGGGCTGGTCTTTCCTTCTCGTTCCACCTATAGTCGGAGAAAGGGAGTCTTGGTTTCGGTTAAAAATGGCTTATCCGCCGATGATTCAATTTTACGCATCTTATAGTGCACGCTAAGACGCAGCGGCGCGGAAAAATCATTCGATTGTTTAGGTGATTGCTGGGAAAAACATTAATTTACATGGCACGGAGGTAAAAAGTGCCAATCGGTGGATGTGACTTTTGCGCTTAAAACAATTTCAAAACAGGTTTTTTAAATCTGTATAATCATTCGATTAATTTTATTTTTACTCGACTCGTGCAAAGCGGTATTTCGTACCCCTCGAATTATCTCAAACCGAAGCAAAGGCCACTCCCGTTACGTGACTTGTACAATTTGCTGACCAAACCACACACAGTTTGTCAAAATGCCAAAAAGTAAAAAAAAAAAAATGATTCGTCGCGATGCGAGGTATTATATTTCTACACATCCCTACCCCACAAAAAAGAGTATAGCCCCGAGGACCACCAGTCACAACAGTCTTACATTCGACAGCTCCACTCGAGCGTCTCGTCGCATCTTCTTACACAGATCAAGCGCAATCAATAGGATGTAATATACACACCCACCCCCCGTTGTCATACCCCAAAACACAACCTGTCGAGCGGCATTCTCGCGTTGCACGACGCGCTACAAGTCATACACGGAAGATGAAAGGAAGAAAGAAGCCATTCGGAGCCGCCCGTTGGCACGTAGGTATATACACCTACAACTCCACGCTATAATGGGTAAGGTTAAGGTCCGCAGACCGCAGGTACGGCTGCACGCATCAGCTGCAGACATGGGGGGGCTGAGCCAAGAAAAACACGGAGGCCAAGTGCGACCAAGTATTATATATACATATATTTGCGTCTACTTGTGTATACGCGCAGGGGCGAATGGCCTGACGGGAGTTTTCAACTCCGTGTACTTTGGCTTGATTTAATTTCAAGTTGAAAAAGAAAAGTACGCTTCAACGATGGTTACGCCGTGAAAAATGTACACGCTCGCTCGTACGATAGGGGCATGGGTTTAATTAAGCGAGAGGAGGGGGGAGGGGGGTAATGTTATACCCTCCAAAGAGTAATAACGGTTGCGTTTGTTCGCCTCTCGGAGGAGGCATCAAAATTGATGCATTGTGATTTAGCTGCAGTACTTTTCGACTCGGCAAGAGCCTGGGGGAAATATACTTTGGACGTGAAATCATCAATTTGCCTAATTCGCCCGGATGCGCGAGGGAGGGGGGGGGGCAGTGTTTTAGAGTTGGTGCTCCCTCGTTTCGCGTCAGCAGTCCGAATGAATAATTACGAACTTTGGGGCGAACTTCGTTTATATGCGCGCGGCACCACCGCCCGACGCCATCACGATTCGTCAAACATCAACTGCGCAATCGAGTGTCGACATGGTGCGACCTCATTGTTTTCGATCGTTTTTACCTATATACATACCAAAGAACATTGATGCCACTCCTTTTTTTTTTTTTTTTTTTTTTTTTCAAATGGACTACACGACGCCTCAAATTTATCATTGCCCCTTTTTTCAAGATAATTCGTGGATACTAAATGGCAAAGCTGCAGATTAACGATTTTTCACGGTGTGTGTTTTAACGGGCACGTATGTATAAAAATGTGTTTAAATCCATAGATGGAGGGGAGAAAAAAAGCACTACTGCGTCCACATCGAGATAAAAGAAAAATGTTTCTACTCGACACGAAACAAAGCACAATACACGCGATGAGGTTCAAAAGGCGAGCTTTCACCCTTGCCCCGTGCAGCTGCAGCTCGCACGTATAATCCCATTATAAATATATCTCGTTTAGCTGGTGTGCTCGATTTAAATCCATCAACCGTATTACTGCCACTTTGAAGGGACGGAGCACAACAAAACAACAGAAAAAAAAAAAAAAGAGGAAAAATGGATGCATTTCAACGCACAAAAGAGCTCGAGATTACGCGTACAATATACATAGGTAAGGTAAGGGTGTGTGCGAATATAACCCGGCGCATGGCGTTGTTGCGCCATTCAGAGCCGAGACGCATATATACATACAGACGCCAATTGGATTACAAAGCGCAGCGAGAGATAGAGCTCGGGACACGGTAAGTGCAATTTCCTCGGGT